GTCACCCTAGGTAGAGTGCAGTGGGGTCATAGCTCACGGCAACCTCAAAGCCCTAGACTCAGGTGATCTTGTCTCTGGCTCCTGAGTAGCTGGGACCACAGGTACCCGCCACAATGCCTGGCTAGTCTTTCTATTTTTAGTAGAGATGGGGTTTCACTTTTGCTCAGGCTGGTCTTGGACTCCTGAGCTTGGGCAATCTTTCTGTCATGGCCTCTCAGAATGCTGGGATCATAAGTGTGAGCCACCAGTGGCAGGCTGTTTCTTGTGGGTAATGGACATTGTGGGCTGCAGTCATTCTGCCTCCTTCTGCTGTTTCCTTCATCTCTGAATCCAAAACCCCAAAGAGCAATCCAGTGCCTTTTATGATACCAGGCGCACAGTAGGTGCTCAATAAATACTCATAAATGATTAGATTCCTTGTACATCGTTGTGGAGTAAGGACTTGTGGAATGAAAAGTGAGCCACAGTCTCACGTGGTGTAAACAGACATCTGGGGAGGGATGATATTAATGTGTTATTAGCAGCTCCCTCCTCTGCCTGCATTTCCTCCCAGGAGGACAGAGAAAATGTCCTAATGGGAGAAGGGAGAAGCAGATATCCAGCTTCTGCTTTCGAAACTTGAGAGAAATGATTGTTGGCCAGAAAAAAGGATGGAAATAATTTCCTTCAGATCAGAAAAATAACCCAGCCTAAAAAAAAAAAAAAAAAAAAAAAAGAAAAATAACCCAGCCTGCAATCCTAGCACTCTGGGAGGCTGGGGTGGGTAGATCACTTGAGCTCATGAGTTTGAGACCAGCCTGAGCAAGAGTCAGACCCTGCCTCTATAAAAAAAAGTACCCAGGCATTGTGGCAGGCACCTGTAGTCCCAGCTACTCAGGAGGCTGAGGCGGGAGGATCACTTGAGTCCCAGAATTTGAGGTTGCTGTGAGATGTGACTCCGTGGCACTCTACAGAGGGCAACAGAGTAAGACTCTCTTTCAAAAAATATATATGTTAAATGTGAAAAGAACAAAAATATTAAAACTTACAGAGAAGAAACCATCTGATAATTTATTTATTTATTTATTTTGTAGAGACAGAGTCTCACTTTATTGCCCTTAATAGAGTGCTATGGCGTCACAACTCAGCAACCTCCAACTCCTGTGCTTAAGTGATTCTCTTGCCTCAGCCTCCGGAGTAGCTAGGACTACAGGCACGCACCACAACGCCCGGCTATTTTTTGGTTGCAGTTCGGCTGGGGCTGGGTTTGAACCCGCCACCCTCAGTATATGGGGCCAACACCCTATTCACTAAGCCACAGGCGCCACTCATCTGATAATTTTTTTATAGCCTTAGAGTATGAAAGACCTTTCTAACTGTGACTCCAACTATGACCTCTAGAAGACTGTTGAAATAGAATGCACAAAACAAACCAACAGGCAAACAAAACATTTCACGGCAACAAACACCTTAAGGAAAGTCCAAAGACATGAAAAATGAGAACAAAACATTTATAACTCATATTTAAAGGGTGAAAAGAAAAAGAAAGACCAGCTACAGAACAGAAAAACCAGCAAAGGTCATGAACCCGCAATTCACAGATGAGGAGATACAATGTGAAGACGCTTGGTCTCACCCACAGAGAGAGGCAAATCCAACACACTGATACACTCTTTCCTCTCAAGGATCATCAAAAATCTGAAAGTTTACTAACATTTTCTATTGGCAAAACCATGAGGAAAGTGACACTCTTATTCCTTACGGAAGGAGAATGATCAGGATGCCTGTCATGCAACTTGGTGACATCTGTCAAAACTACTGATGTGCTTACCCATTGACCCAGTGGTGAAACTCCACCATTTATCTTGCAGGGTGAAATGATAAATTAATTGTAACAAAGTTGGTAATAGCAACAAAAGGAAAGTAACCCAAATATCCTCAGTAGGGGACTGAATGAGTAAACGACAATACACTTACACACTGGACTAGTGTGCAGCTCTAAAAAAGCAATGAGCTATAATTGGGTTATAGCATTCCTATGAAAGCTATAAATTAGTTTCATAGTAGGGCTAAGTACACTGGATACTTTTTCTTCCATTCTTGAGATAGTTTGCTAAGAAGAATATTTCGGGAGGGAGGGGAGAGTTTGGGTGGAGGGGGGGTGATTGGTGGGATCACCCCTATGGTTCATCTTATAAGGGTACATGTGAATCTTTCTAAATGTAGAATATAAATGTCTTAACACGATAACTAAGAAAATGACATGAAGGCTATGTTAACCAGTTTGATGAAAATATTTCAAACTGTATATAAAACCAGCACAGTGTACCCCATGATAGTATTAATGTACATAGCTATAATTTAATTAAAAAAAGAAAAGAAAAGAAAAGAATAGGAAGTGGCAGTCAAAGACAAGCAGTAAAAAAATAAAATACAGAATACAGCATTATGTGTTTCAAGTAGTTAATAAAAAAATGCTGATCTCAGAGGAAAAAAAGCAATGAGGAGTAAGTTCTTTGTACATTGCTATGGAAAGAATTCCAAGATATGTTACATGAAAAAGCAAAAATAAAAATAAAATAAGATGTGTAACAGTGTGGTTTATATCTCATAGGTTCTTTTTTATCCCCTTGAAATGGGGAGAAGTTCTAATCTTTATTTGCAAGTGTTGGGATATGCATAAAGAACTTCTGTAAGAAACATAAAAAACTAAAAAGCTGTTTTAAATAAAATGTTTATGTAGAAATTTAATGAAAGAAATGCAAGACTTAGTAAGAACTATAAAACATTGTTGAAAGAAATTAAAGACAATTTGAATAACTAGAAAGACATCCCATGTGCATGAATTAAGACTTAACAGTGAGTTGACAATCTTCCCCAAATTGTTCTACAGATTCAGTGCAATTCCGATCAAACTCCCAGCTGGCTTTCCTGCAGAATTTTATAAGCCGATCCTAAAATTCATATGGAAATGCAGGAAACCCAGGAAAGCCAAAATAATCCTGAAAAAGAAGAATGTAGTTGGAGGACTCATACTTCCACACTTCAAAACTTACTGCAAAGCAACAGCAAGTAAGATGTCTGGTACTGTCATAACGACAAACATAGATCAACAGAATAGAAATCAGAGTCCAAAAATAAAGCCTATCATTTATGATCCATTGATTTTCAACAAGGGCACCAAGACAATTCAAAGGGAGAAAGAATAGTCTTTTCAACAGATGGTGCTGGGCAACTAGCTATTCATATAGAAAAGAATGAATTTGGACCTCTACCTCATACTGAGCCAGCAAAAATTAACTCAGAATGGATCATAGACCTAAATGTCAAAAAGGCATGTGCACGGCCAGCAAGCACACAAGGAGATGCTCAGCATCATTGGTCGTTAGGAAACTGCAAGTCCAAACCACGGAAACGCCACTCGATTCTGCTGGAATGGCTACAGTGAGGAGGATGGACAATGACAAGTGTTGGAGAAATCAAACCTTCGTTCATTAAATGGCATTGTAAACTGGTACAGTCACTTTGGAAAACAGTTTGGCAGTTACTTGAAGTATTAAACATGGAAATACCTCATGGCCCAGTGATTCCATTCCTAGGTATCGATCTACCCAAGAGAAATGAAACCATATCCTCCCAAAACTTGCATGCAAATATTCGTAGAACCATTAGTGATAATAACCAAAAAGTAGAAGCAAAGCAAATGTCTGCCAGCTAACAAACGGATAAATCAGATGTGACATGCTCATACAAATGGAATATTGTTTAGGTATGAAGATGAAGCACAAGTACATGCTGAGACCTAGATGGCCCTGGAAAGCTTTATGCTAAGTTGCAGAAGCAAGTGGCAATATGTCATTATACAGTATGATTCTGTTCATGCAAAATGTCCCAAGTAGCCCAATCTGTCAAAACAGAGAGTAAATTATGGGAGCCCAGGGCTAGTGCTGGGGAAGAGTGGAGACTGAAGAGGTTTCCTTCAGGGGTAATCCAAAATTAGATTATGGTGAAGGCTGAATGACTCTGTACACACACTGAAAATGTGGGCTTGTACACTTTAGACAGGTGAACTCACAGCATGTAAATTATATCACCATCAAGCTGCTTATTCTGGGGAGGCAGGCCCTGGGTACTGGATGATAGGAGGAGGGAAGATTTCCCATTACATATTTTCCTATGCTTTCTGGGTTTCAAACCATGTGGCTGTACTACTATCTCTTCAAAGGCAAATTTAAAAACAAAAGACAAACACAATTGGGTGGGGGACAGGAAAGGGAAGGGCCACCATCCACCCCCCTGGCACATTGAGGCCGTGGCTGAGGAGACTGTGGCAGCATATTCTAGGACAAGGGCAGTCTCAGAAAGGTTCTAAGAGCCCCTTTACCACCTAGAAGCCACCAATGCCACTGGACCTAATGGGGAGAGGGCCCACAACTGACCAGATGGCAAACACCTAACTGACCAGGGGCTCAGTCCCTGCCTCTTCTTCTCTCACCATCTGGATCTACATAAAATCTCAGAACCACTCTCCAGCCCAGAGAGAGGCGCAGGAAAACCCCTAGACTGACACCAGCTGGCAGAATAGAAGTTTGAGAAAGAAGCTATACTGAGGGACAGGGAAGAGAGGAAGGGTCCTGCCACTTACCAACTGCAGGCTGAGCTCCGCTTCCCTGTGGCCTGTGGCAGAGAGCTCCCCCTTCCTCACAGACTTGGCTGCTCAGCAGGTGCTGTGCCAAGAAAGGCTTCTGTGGTCAGATTTGTCTGAAAGTGCTGGGGAAAAGGAAGTCAGGGCTTCTCTTTAATTGCAGCCTTTACAGAGCCTTTGCTTACGACTCTTTTTCTTTCTTTCTTTTTTTTTTTGAGACAGAGCCTCAAGCTGTCACCCTGGGTAGAGTGCCATTGCATCACAGCTCACAGCAA